CTGTTGATGATGACATGTATAGAATTCTCAACTGGATTGGTCTGAGAAGTGTTTCATGACGGGCAAAGTATTTTTACAAGCAAAACGAGAAATAGCAATTGACTGTTTTATAAAAATAATTAGAATAATAAAGATAATGATTGGGGAAAACAGAAAAGATATGGAATGTTGAAATGGGGAGATTAATGTCTCTGTACTGACTGACGTGCATGGCATTCCCTTTTGAAGAAACAATGTAATACACTGTAAAGTTATATGCAATCCAATGTAATATGAAGAAGATATGATGATAAAAAATTAAAAAAATAAAAAAAAGAACTGTCATAAGAAAAAAATCCAATAAACATTTTAAAATCAGATACCTCTCCTCATTTTTAGTTTTTGTTTTTCCATTGGTTTAACTCCATTTATAAAAAGGGCAGTAACAGGGTCAGCTTTGTGATGCAGCAGTAGTGCCCTGTTCAAGGGAAGCTGGAGCCCATATGGCAACTGTAATTCAAACCCTTGGCCTCATCAGCCTGAGACACACTGGGCACGCAGTTGCCCAAGATCCAATAGACTGGAGGCCTGGAGGAAGGGGATTGTGCATGCCTAGACTCTATGGAGGGGGCTCATCTCTCTTTTCTCATGCATACATTGTAGTGTATCATAAATAAAATAAAAAAATTTTAAAAAGAGGACAAGGTATGTGCAGGTTTTTTTGATCCAGTTTCTGACCACAGTAATGGCTTGAAGTTAAAAAGTTATGTTCTCCCAAATCTAAGCTAATGCTGGTTGTTCCAAGCCACATCCATTTGGTACAGCTCTGCTTATGGTGCTGTCTTGTTTGCGCTTTCCTAAGTCTAAGCCAACAGGACACACAGAAATAGATGTTTATCAGACTTCCTAGTGAGCAGTAAACTTTTTCTACTTTTTAAATGATGTTTTCAATTCAGAATATAAAAACAGGCCCATGCCTTGGCTGTGGTTAAGGTAGCCTGATCCCACAACAGCCAGTTAGAATCCTGGCCCCAGGTGGCTTGAAAAACACACCAGGCACATGTGCATGCCCTGAATCACGACAAGATGGAGAGATGGAGGGGAAGGAAGTGTGGAATGACCGTGTTCCACCGGAAGGGATTCACCCCTTTCCCTCTCCGTCTGCCTCTTTCTTTCTCTTTCTGTGAGGATGCATGTGTCCTATAGCAAATGAAAAAAAAATGATAAAACCAGCAATCGCAGAACAAGCAGGTATTGTGGTGGTTAGGGTACTGGATTCCCATGTGGCCAGCCATGGTTCAAGTCCTGGACCTGGTGGCTTGCTTTTTTTCTATCCCTTTCTTTTTTTTCTCTCTGTTTCTCTCTCTGGTGAGTGCACATGCCCTATAACAAATTGAAAAGGGATGATAATAATGGATCAAATTAAATAAATAATTCTTTACAAAACAAAAAACAGAGCAATCTCTTTCTTATGGAATTTGACCTCTTATCCTATAAATTAAGAACCTCAGTCTTAGAGAATATAAGCAATGTGTCAAAAATTACACTTAGTTCATAATAAAAACGGCAATAAAACCTTGTATAATGCACAGGAAAAAAGGACTGACTTTGGAAAGGTTCTACTTGTGTTGACATTCTTGCTTTGCAGTGTTTTGATCCCTAGCTTCAATAATCTAGTAATCCTCTCTTTTACCTCAGTTTCTGAACTTGAAAATAATGAAACTAAAAATATACGTATAAGAGGGATCTGTCAAAACAACGCACATGGAAACCTGCAGAAAGATCAACCTACTGATTCCTTGATTGTCTGTCTCATTGCATTGCTTTTTTTTCTTCCTTATATGTAATCTTTAAGTGATTATTCAATCATCACTATGAAATATGTTACTGATATTAATATCCATGTTATGGGACAGTCATGCATAGCGATCCATTGCCAATTGTTTGATTCATTTATACATTCTTATTTTGAAAAAATAAAATGATCTGTTTCAGTAAAATGAATTCTGAGTATCTGAAACAGTTCATTGCCCTCACTTTATCATAGTGAATAAAGATTTTCTGTTTATAGATTTATCTAAATATTTGATCTATTAAAGCTCTGAAAGATTTAATCTCAAAAATTACATTTAAAAGAATATGAATTTCTACTGTTAATTTTACCAAAGAAAAAGTGGTCATTTATAAAGGAACATATAGGTAAGAAAATAGCACAGACATACAAATTTTGCCTGTTTTAATTTGAACTTGATCTAACATAGTGTGCATTTTCAATGGCTCATCTCAAACTGTATTTCATTAAACTGCCTCAGGTAAATATGTTAATTAATAAATATTAATTAAAGTGTAAGATAAAAGTTATTAAGCAGAATTAGATTCTTTAGAGCATTGCAGGTCTTGTTATGGGGAATAATTAGATGGGAGTTTGACTTTACAGTGTTTTGAGGAAATGCCATTTTTAATCAATATCTGGGGCAACACTTTTTCTGAAGCCTTTAGCTTTGAATTTTCATGTATTCTTTAGACACACCAATTGCCTTAGAAAAATAGGCACACAGATGGGCTCCTGTTTTCATTCTTTATCTTTTTAAAGTAAGAATAAAGGTAACTAATTAGTAAAGAAAAAAAAGAGAGGAAGATCTGACTATTAGGGCAAATTTATGGCTCTATTCAAGGTGAGAAGGAGGACCATAGGTGACGTCTATGCTAAAGTAATTTCTTGCTTTTACCCATTTTGGCCTGAGAGAGACATGTTGTTTCAGTCAGTTTTTGAGGTTAGAGATCACTGTTAGCTTTTGAATAAATGGTATTTGATTTAAATAGACAAGTATTTTTCCTGACACAAGCCTGGCATGAGTCAGGGCCAAGAATGGCTAAGTCCATTACTGAGGAGCTCAGCTATACTCTGGAGCCCCTGTTAAATTCCCTGCCTTTTGCTTGTTCAGGTTGGGAAGGAAAAGACATAGTTCCTGACTTGTTTAAAAACTTTTATCATGCAGTCTTCTTGTCTTAAAGTAGGAAGTGATTTACACATGGGAATACGTATTTATAAAATCTGTAGCATGAACATAAAGGCAGAATCTAGGCTGGGTTTCGGAGAATCACTCCCAGAGCAAAAAACTGGCTAACTAGCAGGTCTAGAAGGGGGCATGAGGAAACTACTGAGCTATTGTCTTCTAGAACATTCTATTATAGCCATTGCTGCTGTTGCTGTTCTTACTGCCACCACAAGTATTGCTAAATCAGCCCTCAGCTCCCACAGTGTTAGTGATTGGAACAGTAATGCAGTAATACTCATTGTCCTCACGCTCTGCTTTGCCAGAGCAGTTACTAGAGTGGCTGCAAGTTAGCCTCTCCCACCCTCCTGATTTTATATGAGTGCACTGAATTTGCAGAAGCAAATTCCCATTCAGAGCTGTGGCTCTAAGGGGGTCTGAGAAATACTCATTTTAGCTTTCAAAACTGCAATACAGGAAGATAATCTGAAAGAAGGTTGAAACTCAGGACCAGCAGAGGGCATAATGTTTACGTTGCTAGACTCCCACATAGTCAACAGCAATTCAAGTCCTGGATCCAGCAGCAGAAACTGGTTCTGAGTATAAGCTTACACAGCACATTATGTTCAACAAGGTATCTTAGTTT